GAATGGCTAATATCAACAACAGAAGTGACATCTCTTGTTGTCAAGGATGTAGAGCAAGGGGAATGTGCTTCCATTTCTGGTGGGAGTGCATCTTGCACAGACACTCTGGAAATCAATATGGAAGTTTATCAGAAAATTAGATCTAACTCAAGACCCAGCTAGGCTGCTGCTGTCCATATACTCAAAGGCTGCTCCGTCCTACAGCTAGGACACTTGCTACATTATGTTCATAGCGGCATTACTCATGATAGCCAGAAAGGGAAAGAATTTGTATATCCCTCAACTGAAGAATGGTTAAAGAAAACATGGTACCTTTACAAAACTGAATATTACACCCATTACACCCAGATATTTGCTGGTAAATGGATGAGACTAGAAAAGATCATCCTGATCGAAATAACCCAGACCCAGAAGAACAAACATGGTATGTACTCAATTACAACATGGTATGTACAGATATTAGCTGTAAAGTAAAGGTTAATAATCCTACAATCCATGGATCCAGTGAGGCTAAGTAGACAGGAGATCTTTTTATTATTATTATTATTATTATTATTATTATTATTATTATTATTATTATTCATATCAATCCCAGTTCCCTCTCCCTCCCATCTTCCTGTGTCCCCAGACTGAAAGCTGTGAAAGCTGCTGTTGCAGAACGTGAAGAAGTTAAAGAGATAAGTGAACCATTTGATCCTGTTAGTGTAGACTGTGTTTAAGCTAAGGAAAACACACACACACACACACACACACACACACACACACACACAAGAGCTGATACCGACATTGACAAGGCCCAGGATTCTGACCTGACCCTTGACACTTCATCATTAGTTCTTGACTGTTCCTCTGTAAGCATCAAACCATTTGGAGGCTGACTGCACAGGGATCACCAGGCCCAGTTCCCCGCAGTAGCAGTAGAGCCAGGGCACCCTCATCCGACGTTAACAAACATCTCCCCTGTCTCCCTGCTTTAACTCAAGTGGAAGACATTTCCAGCAGCCTTGACAGTCTGTTTACCACTAAGCTGCAAAAGATCACAATTGCAGACCAGTGTGAACCCTCAGAGGAAAACAGTAGCTCTGAGAGCGAGACCCCCAAGAGTGCTAGAAATGCCAGCCACAGACCCAGTGCCCCTCCTCATGAGTTTAAGACCAGCGTGTTATCCACACAACAGAGTGACTCACTGAGTCCTTGTCCGAGGGGTGAGTCTCCTGCTTCCTCCGAAGAGTGGCGATGCAGAGCTAGGCAGTATCTTGATGACATCACAGCAGCACGCCTCCTTCAGCTCCATCACCTGCCTGCACAGCTGCTCTCCCTACAAGGGTCGCTGGCGCTGCAGAAGGAGCAGAAACACAATTACCAGGAGATGCAAGCAAAGCTTGCAGCACAGAACTAGCTGAGAGACTGAATGTTAAAATGCAGAGCTGCAATCCAGAAGGGGAGACTTCAGGGAGATACCGAGGAGTGAGGGACAAAGATGATGCCCACTCCTCGTTTGGATTCTGAAGATGAGCGCTGGGAGATTTATCTCCCAAGATGACTGTTGAGCCGTCATTGCCTCATAGCAAACTTCCTACCAAGTATCAAGAGCAGTGTCCCTGTTGAGGGACAGCAGTTTTTAAAGTTACACGAAGGTACCCACAAAACAGGAGCCCGGTTTGTCTTTCAGAAGATGATCTTCATGTGCTTGAACAGTTTAATACTTGGACATTGTGTCTGAGCGTATTATATTACAGTTTTGCAGTATGAGGTGCATTGACCTGATATTTTAGTGTGAGTAGAGCACACTTTTACTTTATGATAGCTACTTTTTCCTTATTCTTACTCTTATCAAATAGTGCCGCTTACATCCCTTCTGACAAAAAATACTTTGTTATCCCAGGCACCTGAAAATTAATTAGGGAGACCTGGTTCCTTTTTTTTTTTTTTTTTTTTTTTTTTTTTTTTGATAAATGCAAGGAGCAGTCTAGAGAATGGCACTCCATACTTGCATGGAGTTCCTGAGGTACTGAGTAAGACACTTGACTTTTACAAGTGTTTATTTGCTCCTCCTGTCTTTTGGGGTGACTGCTGTCTTCCTGAGATGAAGATAAGAGCACCTTGAGGAGGCTCTGGGTGGGGAGGGTGCTCTGAGCTGGTTTGGGGAGCTAGCTGCTCTTGGCTTCCCTAGCTCATTGCTGTCCTGGATGATAGGTCCATGTACAGGGTGCTCATGTCTGCTAAGGAAACTGGTGTTTTTCTAAGTGCTGCAGTTGAATTGTCGGTGTATTGCTTTTTTCCTTTTTAAACCCAAGTAGTTTGTTAAAGGCTGCAGAAACCTCAGTCTCATATATGTACACATTTGTTTTGTTTAAATGATCATGTCATCATATTCAGCAAAGATAGCAATATATTATCAAAAACCTTTGTCTATTATAAAGGAGAAATAAAATAACAATCAGAACTATTTCAAAAAAAGAACACACAGAGGATTGCCATCAGGATGGCTGATAAATCTGCTGTTCCTATTCCAGTGTGGATTCAGGATGCTGCTATCAAAACTATATGCGTTTGTTAAGGACAAAGCTAAACCAGGGTGGGAGAGAACTGGGATCATCATCTCATCTTCACACATATATGTAATGACACCAAAATCACATCTTTTGCCACACAACTGTCTAGTAATTTTGTCTAAATTTTTTCTGTTTGTTCCTTCTGTGACTCACATTTCTTGTATCCCACAAAATGTCTTTTGTTATCTTCTCTATTTCCAGCTATTGTTTGAGAATTTCCAATGAGTTTTGACCATACCCATACAATGACAAATCATTACACACAGTCTGTTTAATGTTGCATCGTTTTCATAAGATAATTGTAACAGGTCCCACTATAAGGCTTATAAGCTATGTAACCACAAATTCTTATCAATTTTCTCCTCTTAATTGCAGAATAACATTGCTTTGTATAGAAGTATCTCGTTTTGATTGTTCATCAGTTGGTTGAGACCTAAACTGTTTCCATATCCTGGCGATTGTGAATAGAGCAACAATGGATAAAAATGAAAGACTAAAAATAGACAAACGATCAAGCTATACCAATCTTGGGAACACAATTTCACCATTTCTATGGCAGCATGAAATTTGATTGTCCTTTATTTTTTCTAATTATTCTCTCATATAATACATCTCAACAGCAGACTCTCATACTACCAGTCCTGTTAGCTCCCTCAACACCCTCTGTCCCTCAGATCCACTGTTCCTCCATTTCCCCTCAGAAAATAGCAGGCCTGCAAGGATAGAAATTGAAAACAGCATAACAAGATGCAATAATACTAGATGCACCACTAGTATAAATGCTGAGGGAGGCAACCCAGTAGGAATAAAAAAGCGTCGAGAGCTTGAAAAGGAGTCATACACACCACTACTCCCATTGTTAGGAGTCCCACAAAATCTCCAACCTAAATACTGACAACGTAAACACAGAGAATGTAGCACAGACCCATACCGTTTCCTGATTGCAGCTCCAGTCCCAATAAGACCTTCAGAGACTTGCTTAGCTGATGCTGTGGGCCATGTTTTCTTGGCATTCTGGCATGCTCTGGCTCCTATAATTCCTCCACTGGGACAGAGGGTGGAGCCAACAGTCCACCCTACTTCAGAGACTTCTCGGAGCAACTCTGAACAAAGAGACCTGCCTATCCACGCAGGACCACCTGTAATTTCCACCTGCTTGGTCTCTGACCCCCACCTCCAGTCCTCTGCTGGAGTCCCGGGCCCCTCCCAGAGATCTGCCTATCTCTGCGGGTCCACTCTGAGTTCCTGCTGGCATCTTCTACTGGATCCTCATTCTTGACCCCATCCCTGAGTCCCTGTCTGCGGAGAGACTTCCTATAAAGCTTGGACCACCCAGAGCTACAGATATTGAATCTCTGACCCACATAAGCCCACCAGGGAAGTACCATAGAAGAGGAGACCCCACCAACACCTACTGGAAGAAGCTATGGGAAGAAGGCAATACAAGAAAACACCTAACAACAGAAAGACAGGACCGCCTGAAACACAGTCCCAGGTGATCCTACATTCAAAACAGCTGGACAAAGCAGCCTGACAGACTACAGCCAGGATTTCTGAATCTTCTTCGAATCCCCCATGACAGCGCCCCTTACCAGCAGGAAGTAGTTTGGAAAGAACGACGCCCAAATTCCGAAATATTGTCTGTAAATGTTTGTTTTCATTTAAATGGACTCGGTTATATAAATTTTAAAAAAAGACACCTGAAAGGACAATAGCAGTAAGAGCAGAGGTCCAAACCATTGAGAGAGAGACAGACAGAGGGAGAGGTTAATCATTCTCTCTGGGGGTGTATATTGAGTGTTATATCTCAATATTAAAACAGGAAGCAACAAAAATAAAAAAAGAAAGAAAATTCTTGTCCTTGGCAGCAGTACATCAGGATATTGTGACTATAGTTGTGGAAGTCCATTGGAGCATAGGGAGGAAAGAGAGCAGAATCTGCTCTAAGAAATGCCTCAATGAAGTACTTGATTTGAGTCTACAGAGCCACCTTGAGACTGTGGCCCCCTGTCGTAAGATCATAAATTAGTCTTTCCTTAGAACACCATTGACTTTGGCCAACATTACTTTTGCACATTTTGGGTCTGCAATTACTTCTCTTTGCAACATGGCATGTCGTGGCATGTGAATGTTCATTCCCTGGCTTGTGAAACACACAGGACAGAGGCAAGCTGTGAAAAACAGAGGACAACCCTACTTTTCTAAAGACTTTTCAGAGACTGTAGAACTTGACAAAACTCTTGCACTGGGGGGGAGGGGAAGAGAAGTTCCTCTTCCGGCAATAGTACTGATGTTGCAAACCCATGACAGGAAGGTTATACCCTCAGTCGAAAACAGACTGCCTGATGGTTCTACAGAACGTGGTCAGACCACCCCAGGAGCACAAATAAAAACCAAGACTCATCATGATCCTGATGCTCAGAGTGCTGATGTACCTTGGTAAGATTTGAAGAGGGAGAGTGGACCCTCAAGTATTTAAGGAATGCTACCCCACAGCCAGGTCTGATTGCATATGAAGAACTCAGGGGATCCAACCCAGCACTGGATTGGAAAAAGCTCTCAGAGGGAATTTTCTTCCAGGTCTGAGTTTGGGCTACAAGACTACAGTGCTGGCAGGTGAGTGTTGCCATCCATCCCAAGATTTTATTCTTCCCTCTGAAGGCAAGACATTACTTTTGCTCTCCTATGGGTCTGCTCTTCACAATGTGGGTGGAGAAACATGTTATGATGCCTGTGAGTGCTCTATACTAAAACATGTGGTCAGATGGCAGGGGGGGGGGATGTTCGGGGACTCATCCTTTGATTTCCTTGCAGGAGACATCCTAAAGCCCATCATCTGGACTGAGCCAGGATCTGTAATTGCTCAAAATATGACTGTGATTATTTGGTGCCAGGGATCCGGGGATGCTGTGGAGTACTTTATATATAAAGAGGGAAGCATAGATCCTTGGGACAAACAGTTCCCTCTGGAACATGGGAAAAAGGCTAAGTTCTGCATTGATGAAATGTCAAAGGACTTTGCAGGGATATATAAGTGTTACTACAAAAGCCTTACTGGCTGGTCAGAGCACAGTGACACCCTGGAGCTGGTGCTAACAGGTGAGTGCACACTAAAGGATCCCAGCATGGGCTCTCCTTGTTCTCCAGGCTTACTTTCCTCAGAGCCAAAGAATAAAGGACAATGTGGGTAGATTAAGTTCATTACATACACTTCCCTTTGCATCCTAGGAGCCTATGAAAAGCCAAGCCTGTATGTCTGGCCCAGCCCTGTTGTGACTTCAGGGGAGTGTATAACCATGCAGTGTAGCTCATCACTGGGATTTGACAGATTCATTCTAAGGGAAGGAAAACACAACCTCTCATGGACCATGAGCTCACAGCAACATACCAAAGTGTCATTCCAGGCTCATTTTGTTCTGGGATCTGTCAATGCCAACCACAACGGGACATTCAGATGCTATGGTTATTTTAGGAATAATACCCAGGTGTGGTCAGCATCAAGTGATCCCCTTGATGTCCTGGTCTCAGGTAAGGACCAATAACTTATCCTTTTGTGATGTATATGCCCACTCATTTATCTTCTCTAAGAAGGGCTCTTGCCTAGAATAAGAGTAAGGAAATGCTAAGTAAGGAATCTCTTCATTCCAAAAGGCTTCCACCCCTCATAGAGGAGAAATAATCAGTACCCTCTGGTGTGAATGCTCCCCTTCAGGATTGAATGGAATTTAGAAGATTCAGGAGTGTTTAACTCTGTACTAGTTAGGATTCCATTTTGTGATGAAAACACCATATTCTAAAGAAACTTGTGGAGGAAAGGGCTTATTTCATCTAATAGCATACAGTTCATCCTGAAGAGAATCAGATGTAGGCACTCAACAAGTGAGAACTGAAGCAGAGGACATAGAGGAACATGGCTTACAAGCCTACTACCCAGAGTCCTGTTCAGCCCAGTTTCTGATATAGTCAAATTCCAATTAATAAGTATTAGCAGTACACACAGTAGTTTTCTGGACCCGCCCACATCAATACTTAATCAATTAGGAAAGTTCCCCAACAGACTTGCCTACTGACCAATATGATGAAGGCATTTTTTTCCAGTTAAATTTGCATCTTCCCTGATGACTCTAGCTTGTATGAAGTTAGCAAAGCGTAATCGGAACAGTCTGGGATGGCATCCTCAGCCCTTCATTCTCCTCATTACTTTATTTGCTAAAATTTATGGGCCCAATAACATAACAACACCTGGTCTCAAAAGGCTTGTGGTACACATAGTGCATAGACCTAATCAAGCAATTCTGAGTCCCTTGGAGCCTCAATCCTTCCTTTACATTCAATAAGGCTTGCCATGTCTTCATGGTATTAAACTGTGGTCTTAAGTGAGCATCCAAGAACACAGAGGCACAAAATTTGGTCTGCAAGAGGGTGAGAGCCAGTTAGAAGTACTTAAGGTTTAAATTGTGGTAGAAACTGACAAACTTAATCAAGGGCTGGAAGTTCAAATATTCACCTCTTCGTGCCATACTGCCAGAACCCAAGGACCAGTTTCTGAACCCCACTGAGTATGGTAAGTGAGGATTCTTCTAGGAGGTCGGAACAGCAAGTTTGTGAAATTACAATTGATTGTTAAGCTTTGACAGAACTTGGAACGTTGGGAAAAGTGTACTTTATCCCTACTTAGAAGTAGCAGAAAAGGTTTATCAAGACCTGCAATGTGAGATGCCATGAGAATGACATGTTTTTAAAAATTAAGAATTATTCAAATCATGAGGAGCTCAGAGAAGTGCCTCAGCTCTCTTAGGCCTTTAACATAGTCTGCTCAAATTATTTGGTTCTCTGGGGAATCTCAGACCATGAGAACATGAAAAAAGAATGGCCATGTAAGAATCAGGTGAGATGGAGAACCCTAGATTAAGGGACAGACACGATAGGTCTAGTTCTGTCAAGGAGATGGGGGACTGAGTGCACAACCACTTACTGTAGGAAACTTTTGGCGTAACCTGACTTCTTTGACCTCTTCGTGCAGAATCCCCTGCATCACAGCACAAAGCTAACACAGTCGAAAACTTCATCCGGATGGCTATGGCTGCCTTGGTTCTAGTTACTCTAGTGATTCTACTGTTGGAGGCCTGGCACAGCAAGAAAGTTGAAAAACGTGTAACCAGGAGATAAACAAGAAAGTCTGCGATATTCCACACATGAGCGGATCGTGGGAAATAAATCTGGCTTTCCCATACAAGGAAAAGTGTTGTACAGGAAACTGGGTGTGGATTAAGGAACTGTACTCTTAGATGCTACAGAAAGCAAATGTGTTCTAGTGGTTGTTTTCAAGAGCACTTTGCTGCTCATTGTATTCCTTTCTCTACATCTCACTGTGGATATTTGCCTACTGCTTCCTCCTCCTTTCTTACTTCTATACCTCATGTATGTCACGGGCCTTCACTTTCCCTCTCTTTCCAGTAACATTTTCATTCACATAGCCAGATCAATGTTGTGCATCATGAAACAGAACATAAATCAAATATGCTACATTTGGCCTTTGCTAATCATTCCATGTACTCAACTCACAGTCACTACCCAAGAAAAGGCCACATGTGTGAAGTTCAGGAGGGATGCAAAATGGGTGGGTTCCTTGTCATTTGAAATATCATGGGTGATTTATTTTTATTGCAAATGAATTGTTTTGCATATGCCCTTAATCTACCGGGATGCAATCATTAATTGTGAATATTAATTTTTCTCCTACATCCAAAGAGAAGGCTTCTTTTAAACTATGATATTTTATTCTTTGAGAATCTTAGGCAGTGTATTTTGATCATAGTCCTTCATATTTGACAGCTCCTCAACAACTGACCACCCCCCATCCACTCTCCATTCAGATGGAATCTCTGAGAAGATAATCAATTTCTCTGAAACATTTTAATTCTTTGTTAGATTTTGCTTAATGTAGTCTTTGACAAGCTCTCTCTCCTTTCAAATTATTCACAAACTAGTTCAAATTAGTTCTCTAATCGTGTTAGCTCGAATTTCATGTGCTGTGCTGGACATGATGATAGAAGGGATGCACTGCATTCCTCCTCATCATCAGGGGACATTTTAACCTTGTCTTTTAAATATGATGTTACCTGCAACTTATTCAAACATGATGTTATTGAAAGTTTGATGTTCTATTTTCTGTGTAAAATCTTGAGAAATGGCCACATCATACTTACAAATAGTGCTCCTTGCATCTCCGCATTTGCTTTTTTCACAATAATATTGCATATATGACATTGATTGTGTGTGTGTGTGTGTGTGTGTGTGTGTGTGTGTGTGTGTGTTGAACAGATAAATGTCACAAAACCTTTCTATACATTCGTGGTATTGAATTCTGTTTACATGTCACTGAATACTTTTTATTACACAATGAGTGTGTATCATTGAGATCTAATAGAATATAGCATCAAAATTCACTATGAGGCATTCCAAAACATCATGGACAGTGTTTTAGAATTTAGAATGTGAAATTACCTCTACATATGTGATCTGTTGCTAGTGAGGTAACATTTTGAAGTTGAGGTATATTGATATAGATACATTGGTATGATGCATTTAATCATTGTAACCCATACTTCTTCTTCTCCACATTTTTCTCAAGAGTTCTCCTCCTGACATGGTCTCCTTTTGTGTGTGGTCCACTAAGTTTAGTAAGAGTTACCTACCTGAGCACAGGAAGGAGGTCATATGGCAGAGTAAGGACAAGTCATCTGTGGCTACAGCATTGAAGAAAAGGACAGAATCTCTCACAGCAACCACTAATTCCCAATAGTATTTCTGGAGGGGTGCATTTCATATTGATTATATTTACTTCTTTTTCTTTAAGACATGGTCATTTCATTTGTGTAAAATGTGTGAAAGTTGCTTAGCTGAAGCAACTCATCTGAACTAGACGACACCCTGGGGGAGACGGACTACTTTAGATAGAAGGTGAGAATTTGCACTTTTAAAATTTAAAGGTAAATTTTTTTGTGTTTTTCACAATTCTTTTCTTTTAACAACACTTCATTGTAAAACCAAAACAATGTTTTCTTTGCTTTGTAATTGCACTTTATTCCCAAGTGGCTTTTCCTTTTATGAATTTAAATTAAAGTATAAATATATCATTTCTCCCCTCCAACTCCTCCTGAATGAACTTCCAATAGTCCCATGCCCACTATTCACTACCAAATCCAGGGCCTTCTCTTCACTAATCATTGATGTTATGTATACATATAAATAAACAAAATAAAGAGTAAGACCCTTGAGTCCATTCATTTTTATTTGTGTGTATTTTTCCAGGAATGACCAAGTTGTGTTTTCTACTTTTGATATTTTGTTTGATGAATAAAATCATTGTTATTTTTGCTTTGTGTATAATATACAATAACATAACCTGTAATGGTTATTATGCTTTCATATTTTCAAGGCTTACTCATAAAACAGAGAGTAAATAAAAGTGTCCGTTCTAAATTAATAAAGACATTTGTCTAGTTTGGTGATAAGGACAATATTGGATTCAATTCCATCTTAGTCAGGGTGTCCTCGATTCATTTTCCACATCCATCTCCTCCTGACCACACTTCCAATATTCTGCACTCCGCTATTCAGCCCCAAATTCACAGCCTATTCTTTAAAGATTGTTGTTACATATACAAATAAACTAACATTATTATATAAACACAACCATCAGTGTTTATGCATTGTTCTCTGTTTATACTAGTATCCGGGCTGACCACATGGTATTTTGCACACTTAATGTCTGGTTTGATGCATTGACAAGCAGTTGTGACACCATGCTCAAGACCAGTAGAGGCTCAAGCCAGACAAACTTTCCCATCTCCCCTTCCCTGGAGAGATGGAATACATCCAACTGGTGGTCAGAGATGCAGGACAAAATCCTGTTCTCTCCTGACCTCACCACAGGGACCATCAAGGAAGACAGAGAATGTTGTATAAACCTGGGAAAATGCAGGCATGGACAGATAGAGGGGCAACTCCTTAGCAATTCACAAGTGTTCCCTCTCCTCCTTCCATGTTTGTGATCTCCACCCCTCTGCCCCCTTCCCTCTACTTTTCTCTACCTCCACATGTCTCCTACCCTCCCTCTCCCATCTTTTCTCTTACCCTCTCTTTATTCCTACATTATCTTATTGAGTCTCTGATATCTCTCACATACCCATACATTTTATGTCAATTTTTGCATGCTTGATACTTACCACCTCTACTTTCACTGTTTTAGCCCATCTGTCTTTTTAGAATAATTTTCATTAATATATATGTATATATATATATATATCAATTTTATGTAACAATTGACTTCATCATGAAATATTTACAGGTACACATAATGTATTTTTATATTTGTTTTAAAAATATTTTTAATTTTTAAATCTAAGATACACATTATTTCTTGGCCTCTTTTAATTTTATTGTTATACACACTAGGTAATCTCTATCATATTTATACTATTACTCTCTCTTGCTCTCCAACTTCCACTATTCCATTCATTTTCCTAATTAATCTTCTTTATACTTTCATTCAGTTTTCCTTCTTTGGTAAATTGATGGATTCAATTAGAGTTACTTACTCTTCTGTTTTTATTAGCACACAAAGTCATGGACTTTATTATAGCATCTTCATACAGTTCATTTTGTTCATCTTCTTCCCACTTCCTTCCCTTGTATCATATTCTGCCTGTCCTTCCACACGCCCTCAACTATTCTCCCATGCCATATGCTTCCAACTTCTTTCCCAGTCCCTTTCTGTTCAGCTCTTACACACTTTCCAATGGTCACGTTCTAATTTTATAACTTCCCCCATCTTAAGTACATTAGAAACCAGGAATCTGATTTCATTGTAAGTTGTTCACTTTGCTTTGTCACTTTCAACATATCTGCATTAATTAATATCTCTTTTCAAGGCACAGAATGTCCCGTGAATGTGCTTGCTTCTCTTAAACCAGGTCCAGTGTTCCTCTCTTGTTTCTCTTCGTGTGTGCACTACTCAAGTGTGATGATCTGCCTCACTGGCTCTGTTTGGAATATCCAACATCTGTCATTACTTCTCCACATCTACTTTCAAATCTTCCATTTAGGCATCTGACTTTTTGCAGCTTTTATTTTTCTTCCCACATGCATCATGCTTTCCATTTCTTCAGCCCCTTCTATCTGGGATTCTCTAGCTCAGTGCTCCTCTCACCGTGGGTGTGTACATTTCCATGTTTCTGGTTTGCTTTTATCTACTTATCCCTGGGCACATCTCTCCAGGATGCTTTCTTCAGTTGACCTAGAATGTCTACATAACCTTAAACATGAAGTGGAAGCATATTGGAGAATTATAGAACTGACAGTGATTGGTGCTCTACTCAATTACTCAAGAATAATGAACGGGTCAACCACAACAAATGAGCAGCTGTCATACTGGTCAGAAAACCAATAGATGTCACTTGTAATCATGCTTCAGGACTCATGAGGTACCAGCTGCACTCACCTCTTAAACTCAGTTCAGGCACATGATAACCAGAAAAGGAGAATATCCTTCATATACCAAATGACCAATACTTCAGGAGATTTGATCAGGACCAGCTTAGGTGTTTGTTATAGTTGCCATTGTTCCAGAACTGGAAGTTGTGCCTTTTTCAATTTTTTCCCTTGACGGTACCATCAATCAACTTATACTGAGTATTTATCTTATGGTGTAAACAGACATACAAAAGATAAGCTCTAGGAAACCAAGACACAAATAATGAAGCTGTGGCAGAGACTTACTCACCATTCCTTGGAATTTAGGTGTTGCCTCAGATTCCTTTCCAAGCATCATGCTTTGCCATATCTGGGCCTCTGAAAATAATTTTGAACTCCATTATAATATCTTGAGAGGTCAAGCCTTGAAAGGATGTGCCTGGCCTGGAAACCAAGAATCTGAAGAGTGTATTTAGTCCATTGTGCTGAGACCTGCCAAGATGTGTCCAGCATAAAGTTTTCTCCTCTCTCTCCTCTCTCTCCTCTCTCTCTCTCTCTCTCTCTCTCTCTCTCTCTCTCTCTCTCTCTCTCTCTCTGTTTATTTCTCCTGTCTCCTTTCTGTATTTTGCTCCTCCTTGAAGAGTTCAATATATTATTATAATTTGACTTGCAAAATAATTGACAGAGATTTTTCTCTCTTATGGGACCTTCATACATTAGTGCCTATGAATACAAAGTTGCATATATATTGTTCTGAATCAACTTGAGAGTGGTGCAAAATGCTTTGTCTCAAATGACTGATCAGAGCCCATGTTAATTCACTCTCACTTGTGGTTATGAACACTTGGGAGAGATGCCCAAGTTTCAGCCCTATGGCTATCAGAGAAACTGTGAAGAGTAAGAATGAAATCTGGTACAGCATGACTTATTTGGTCATGTTAGTTCAAACTTCTGGAGTCTGGCACCAACTAGTTTATTATGACGGTATTTAAACCCAGTATAATTTGAAAAAAGCATTGCCTTGTTTAATAAAATAGCTGATTCACAAGGAGCAATAATTACATCAAAACTCAACTCATATATATATATATATGTGTATATATATATATATATATATTTCTTGCAATAATATGGGTACTAGAGATAGCTTACATGTATTAGCTTAAGGACCTAGAGCAGTGTCTGGCATCGTCTATTTTTTGTCTTGCTTTTGTTTTGTTTATAATCCTTTATATAATATTTTGTTAGACATATTTACATATATTACAAGTATTTTCTTTCAGCCTGTGTCCTGTGTTTCTAATTTTTATTCTTCCAGCTTTAGTAAGACATCGTTGAAAGATAAAACCTGTATGTATTTGGATTGTTTGGTCTTTTGGTAAAGCAGGCAACTATCATTCTACACTATGTAAAAATCCATTACCTCACATGGTTTTACTTTTCATTTGTTTGTGTGCTTGTGTGTGTCCATGTGTATGATGGTAACTGTGTGTGTGCTCATGTGTGAGGAGTGCAGAGATCAACGTCACATGACATCCCTTTGGCATCTGTCCATATTGTTGAGACAGGAATGCTTCACGGAACTGGTGCTTTCTAAGTAGGCATGTCTCAGTGGTCAGTGAGATACATCTATGTGCTATTATGCTCAGTTTTTTTTAGTTTTTATTTTACATGTCGACCCCAGTTCCCTCTCCCTCCCTCTTACCCTCTCTGCCCCCTCACATGCACCCTGACTACCCTCCCCTCCCATTCCCCCACCCCAATTCCACATGTAGGGCAATGCCATCCAGGTGGGGTTTTGTAGATCTGTCAAGTCATTTGAAGTAGGGACTAGGACTTCTCTCCTGTCTCTAGGTTAAGGCAGTATCACTCCATGGGGGATGTGTCTGCAAGGTCCTTTTGTGCACCAAGAATACATCCTAACTTAGAGATCATTTAGGCTATGAGTTACCTCTGGTTCTGTTTTGGCAAGCATGGAGGGGCCTTTAGCTATATAAATAATTTAAGGGTCATCTCCAGACTCTTAAGTATCCCCAGTCTAGATTGTGAGAACTTAATATAGCCTGGCCCTTTGTATAACACAGACCAACAGGCTATGTTAATCACCTCCAATTCCCAGTCTTTTGAATGAAAAACAGGTTATACATCTTTTCATTAAAAAAAAACAACCATGCATGTTTGACATTCCTTGTTTCCTTAGTAATATGTGGGCTCAAATATCTTGTGATCCCAACATGCAGGCATGATTAAAAATTAAATAGAACATTTGCAGGAAAACAGAAACAATTGGAAATCAGTATGTTCATCAAAATATGACAGACTCATAAAGGTAAATGCTGCATATTTTATACATGGAAGCTAGATTTAAAATTAAACATTTTTTAATGTTTTATTAACGTTTTAGGTGACCACACAAAGGATTGCATTCCATTATGGTGTCTTTTTACATATGTGTCATAGTATGTATTTGTGTGTGTGTGTGTGTGTGTGCGCACATGCGTGTGCACACATGCATGGGAGAGAGTGAGAGAGGGTGAGAGAGATGAGAAATATTAAACAAAAAGAAAATCAAAACTAAAAAAGAGACATTAAATTATTTTTAATTTAAAGGAAATTTCATACATGCATAAATGGTACTGTGATAATATTCAAAGCTCACT